CAGTGTCATCAGAATGACAAGAAAGGTATGTGCGAGTGGTCAAGCAAGGAAACAGCTGCTTGTAGTTTATCTCGGCGTCCAGGAAGTTCATTTAAAAGAGAAGCCAGGCTTTTGGGGCAGTCCAAGTGGCGAAGCCTACAGAGAGCACAGTTTTGACAAGGTTTCCTGGGTCACCAAGGCTCCTGATGGACTGAGAGAGGTAGGCGCCCCCACCACTCTGACCTGCACCCTACCTGGGGGTAGGAAAGTGGGTTGTGGTGATCATACCGCGAGCCCTTGATTTTCAGATCCCTGCCATGACGGTGAACAGAAGCCGATGTCTCTGAGGGTGCACTGTGGGAGGTCTAGAATCCACCACAAAACTCAGCTGTGCCAGCCCTGAAAACGTCCCCATGGACAGGTGCTACTGTGGGTGCTGGGCCCTCAAGTTGTTGACTTTGCTCTGAGGGGGCAGAGCGGGGGGGCGGTGAGCGTGGCGTATGCAAGGTACGAATCATCACAGGTTTTAGTAAGAATATGAGGGAAAGAAAAACACTTGATTCCAAGTTTAAGTGTCCTAATTTCAGCCACGTGCCAGCGTTTCCATGGAGCCCAGGACGTAAGAAAGCCATCACACCCTGACACAGTTGATTAGGTGATTGTTTTTTTCTGTCAAAACAGGCAGAAAGTACAGACTCTGTCTTGATCTGAGAGAAAAGAGCAGGAAAAGAAAAAAGATAATAAACAATCATGGAAATCACAACTGCAATTATGAGCGATGTAGGGAATCGTGTCATCGGCATTAGACATTTCAAATCCAGGTGCCAGGAGCCAAAGATAACCTGCATACTTCAAAAATCAAGTCCTACATAGCAGATGACTTGATTTGCTTTCATTATACTAGAAATCCAACATCCATTCATGATTTAAAACTCTGAGGAAAATGGGCATAAGGCTGAGGATTTAGCTCAGTGGCATTTCCTGCCTGGCAAGCGTGAGGTCCTGAATTCAATCACCTGTTCAGAAAGAGAGGGTGGGGGTGAGAGAGAGAGGGAGAGAAAATGGGCACAGAAGGACTTTACCTCATCTGATAAAAGCTGTTTATGACAAACCTATTGTCAATATATTACATGGAGAAAACCTGAAAGCATTTTTCCAAAACCTGGAGAAAGACAAAAATGTCACCATCACCACTCCTGTTCATTATTCTACTTGAAATTTAGCCACAACAGTTGGGCCAGAGAAAAATAAAAAGGATACATTTAGGAAAATAAGTCAAACTATCCCTATAGATGATATGATCCTTTAGTAGTAAACCAAAATTATTCATCCAAAAGACTCCTCAAATTAATAAACTGACTTTAAAAAGTAGCAGGATACACAATCAACATAAAAATCAGTAGCAAAAGAATAAGGCTACAAGAGCAAGAAGCAATTTAAATATGTTAAGGGACCATTTTCATCACCAGAATTAAGGATTATTTTAATGTTACATCATTGTCTTTTCTCCTTTACTTTCCTTTTTAGTTTTATTTTATGATTCCCTATTTTTAATGTTCATACAGAGATTTCTTTACCTGAAAAACCAAATAGTTTCTCTGGTGTGAAAAACTAATAGTACACAGGATCCTAATGAGATAATTAATAATGTGAAATAGGAAGTAAAGGGCTAAAGGTCTAAGGAAAGTGGGAAGGGTGGGGGAAAGGTAATAAGGGAGAGGAAAAAAATATGAGAAACTGAAAAAATGGAAATAAAGTGTTTGTAAATGGGGAGGGGAAGAGGGGGTGAAGGGAGGGCAGGGACAAGGGGAAAAATGAGAAGACCTATTATGTAAAGGTACAGGATCCCAATGATGAATGTAACTGTATTGTATACCTAGATTGTACCAATAAACTCAATAAAAAGAAAAAAAATCAGTAGCATTCCGGTACACCAACAATGAACAGAAAGAAACTAGGAAAACACCACAGTAGCTTCAAGAAGTATTACCTAGGAATTAACCTAACAAAGGAAGTGCAAGACCTCTAGAATGAAAACTATAGTACGCTGAAAAAAGGACATTAAAAAGGACAGTAGAAAAGGGAAAGATTGCCACCTGTCTTGCAAGCACTAGGTCCTGAGTTCGACTCCCAGTACCAAATAAAAAAACAAAGAAAAGGGAGCGATACTCCCTGTTCTTGGATAGTCAGAAGCACTATTGTCAAAAGGGCCATACTACCAAAACTGATATATAGATTTAATGCAATCCCAACTGAAATACCAACAGTATTCCTCACAGAACTAGAAAAAATTCATAAAACTCATATAGTATCAGAAGAGACCCAAAATAGCAAAAGCAATCTTGGGCCATAAGAACAAAACAGGAGCTATAACAATCCTGGATTTCAAGTTATACTACAAACCTACAGAGATCAAAAACAAAGTCACATGATATTGGCACAAAGACAGACATGTTGGTCAAACAGAACAGAAAAGAGGATGCAGAAACAAACCCCAGGCACGTTCAGCTGTCTGATCTTTAACAAAGGGACCGAAAATGTACACTGGAGGAAAGCCTCTTTAATACGATGTCTTTAATTCTTCTGGAAGAATACGAAAAGGGAATAACTAGGTTGAATGGCATGTCTAGTTTTAGGAATTTCCATACTGCTTTCCGTGGTGGTTGTATGAATTTACACTCCCACCTACAATGTGGAAAGGTTTCTTTTTCTTTTTTTCTTTTTTTACCACGGATCGAACTTGGGTCCTTTTGCTTGCAAGGCGGGCAGCAGAACCACTGAACCAAACCCCCCACCCGGAAAGGGTTTCTTTTTCCCTACAGCCTCACCCGCACTTGTCATTTTTTTCTTGATGATGGCCATTTTTTTTCCCCCAGAGTGGGATGGAGTCTCAGTGTTGTCTTCATTTGTATTTCTCATTCCTCCTGTTAATTTTTATTAATGGGAAGTAAATCTAGCATTTTTCTTCCTTGTGAAAACATTGCCAACAAGGTCTCTCCCCTCTGGAGCCCTGTGGCTCTGCTAACGCCTATTGCAACTTGCACATATGTGACATCCACAGGGAAATGCTGAAAGCCACAAATGCTACAATTTAATAACCTTCTATGGAATTTTAAGAAAGCGAAGAAGTAAATCCACCCCTGGACTTCACCCACGCAGGCCAGAAAGAACTAAAACCCACTCTGTAGAGGAGAGGCGGCGGCGCTGGTCTGCAGGTTCTCAGACGTGGTGGGCAAAAACCCAACCAGGGGAAGGCACCTAGAAGGAGAAGCCACTTGCCGTCCCTGGCATTGCTTACAGCCCAGATCCAGCGAACACGCCATCCAGGGAAAAGTTCAAATCCCCTGGAGGGAAGAAACTGCAGCAGTGGCTGCCGGGCTGCTGATCCGCACCCAGCCGAGCGGCCAACACCCAGTGCCCAGCTGTCCTAACTCTCCTGCCCTGGGACATGGAGCCCAGGGAGCAAGATGGTCACAGAGACTACGCCTCCGATCAGGACCCCAAGGGAAGCCCAGGCAGAAAGAATCCCTCAGAGGGCAGGGACAGAGTGACTGAGTTTGGGACTGCACCGGCTGGCAGGGGCTGTGACGGGTGGGATCTGGGGCGAAGAAGAGACACTAGAAGAGACACTAGAGCAGGCTGCTTGCTTAGGTCTTCTCATAGGATTTCTGCCTCTTTATAAATCCACTAAGACTGTGTTACTTTCTTTTTTTTTTTTTGTTGTTGTTGTTACCGGGGATAGAACTCGGGTCTTTGCGCTTGCAAGGCAGGCCACCGAACCGCTGAGCTAAATCCCCGGCCTAGACTGTGTTACTTTCTACTTATAAATTCTTTCCTTTACTTCTTTCCCTCTGCCCCCAAATATCCCCTCAATCTTTTCTTCCTCTTTGCTTTTTTATGGGTATAAAAATAATATCAAAAATTACTTTTCCTCTCTTTTGTCTGCATTGTTTCTTTTTTAGCTTTCTTTTCCTCTTGAGCATCTTTTTCAATTTTTCTCCTTTGATTTATTTTTAAATCTTTTTTCATTTCTCTATTGTATTCCTTCTCCCCCCCACACACACCTCTCTTTTTCTGCAGCAGGTCCTCCTGCTTCAGCCTCTTGAGTGGCTGGATAAGAAAACCAAAGATGTATTTAAGAAAAAATGTATCCCCTGAAATCATCGCAAAGAACTTTGCAAATCTAGAGATTGAAATGGAAACCCTGTAAACAGGGTATTTAGAATCCCAAGAAGACATGACCAGAAAAGAACCTCTCCATGAGACAGCATAGTTAAAACCTCAGAAATACTGAACAAAGAGTACTAAAAGCCATTAGCATCGAGTAATCCATAAAAGCAAGCACGTCAGAGTAACTGATTTCACAACACAAAATTAAAGGCCAGGAGAACTTAGAAGTTTTTCACGTCCTAAAAACAAATAATTGCCAACCCAGACGACTGCGTTTTGCAAATTTATCTTTCAAAATTGACAGAGAAATATAGCGCATCATGACAAAGAGAATTTAAAGAAACATATGACCACCAAACCAGCATTGTAGAAAATATTTGAGAGATTTCTAAACAGAGACAGCAAGGCTCACATTGCCAAAGACCCCGAGGAAAAGAGAAAATGCATGACTGGGTGAGTAGTTAGACAGGGAAAGTAAAAAGGCATTGGCACTGAAAAATTAATACAGTGGCAGATATCAGTAAAGAGCTGTCAGTAACAAAGCTCAGTGCACATGGTCTTAACTCTCTAAAAAGACACAAACTGGAAGGAGAAAGAGAAGAGGAAGAGGAGGAGGAGGATGTGTAGGACAAAAGGGAAGAGGAGGAGGACAAGGAGGAGCAAGAAGAGGGGAAAAAAAAACCAACAACAAGAACCTGTGGAAGAAGAGGAGCCCAAGCAAAAGCCTTGTCTGAAACCCACTCTGAGATCCATCAACCGCCCCATCTGTTTCCTCTGCCAGTGGCAATGCAACACCCAACACTCCCGGAAATGAGCCTCCCTGTGGGGATTTATTCCTTATGAAAACTCACCAGATCAATGTTAGAGGCGTTCTCCTGTCATCAGGTTCCAGTCCCACCTGCCCAGTGTGCGACACAGGCCTGAGAAAAAGACACACTAAGAGACAGAACTGAGAGAGAAAGCGGGGTGCCAGGACGACCAATGCCGGTGCAACCGACAAAGGCACCGGACAGTCCCAGGCACTGACTTTTATTGGCAATCATTCGGGATAAAGGCAACATGTGGTTTCTGTAGAAATTAATGTAAACAAGGCTCATAAAGGACGAGACAAAGCATTTGCAAATTAGGAACAGACTAGACAAAATATATGATCGTAATTAGAACATTGTCTGTCCTTCAGTCTGAAGGTTTTAGTTTTGGAGATGGAATTTGGGTGTAAGTTACTCTGACCTGGGCACAGAGACTTCAGCCAAACTCACTTTTATAAACGAGCCAACTGTGGGGCTCCCTCTTCACAGCCTGCTTTGGGCATGATCAATGTTACAGTCCTCTGCAGATCAACACAACCCAAGGAACATAGGCCAAAAATAGGACGAAGTCTTAAACTGGGTGCTTCTAATAGTCCTGGTCAGCCTGATTCTGTGAAAAGGAAGCAGCTACCTGTAGATGGTGTGTGTAACAGATTGGAGGATGAAGGTAGTGATGGTGTGCCACAAAAGAGGAAAGTGGTTTGATTGGGTCATGGTGAAGATGATAAAAAGGCTGCCAAAGACACTGAGAACACTGAAGAAAAGCACAAATATAGAAAGACGCTCACTGAGCAAATCTCACAGCCAAACATGAGCAATTTGTTTATCCTCTGCATTGGTCTTCTGTGGATTCTGTACTGATGGGAGGATAAATCAGACCATGGATTAATGAGAAAATCCTAGAATACATAGATGAAGAAGCTACATCAGTTGATTTTTCTTTATTCAAAGGGTAAGGTTCATAGTTCACCTCGGAGTATTGTAGATGATGCTGCCATGGTACTTAATGAAGAAGTAGGATTTTTTATAGTAAAAATGTGGAGATTATTGATATATGAAACAGAAGCCAAGGGAATCAGTCTTGTGAAGTAAAACTCTTTATACTTAGGGCTCCCTTTCAAATATCTTATTTCTCAGCCTTGAAAGGACTTTTCATTTTTCTTTGTCTTCAAAGACATTTGTGAGATCAGTAATTTTTTTTCAATGTAGAAAATGTGATCTTTTTCTGTCCCCTAATTTGTTAGTGATCTATGTACTCTCTTCGTTGTAAAGTCATCTGACTCCGCGGTTCTCTTTATGCTTGCCAGGTACAGATTACTGGCATGTTTCATAAGATGCCGCTACTGTACACAGCCTATCTTGTTCTGTGGATTTATTCCTTATGAATATTTAAATGACTCCCCAATTCTATTGTAAAAAAAAAAAAAAGACAAAGACTGGAAGATCAGATCAAAAAACAAAAATCAACTATGTGTTGCCTTAAAGAGACATTTTATCCACAGAGAAACAGACCGAAAGTGAAAGGACAGAAAACAATACTCCCTGCACTGAAGCCCAAAAGCACACAGAAGTAGCTCTCCCAGTTTCAAAGTGGACTTAAAGCCCAAACTTATTAAAAGAGGCCCAGAAGGTCACTACATATTGGTAAAGGGAATGATTCAACAGGAAGAGACAACAATTATAAATATATATTTGCTGAACGTTGGTGTACCCAATTTCAGAAACAAAAACCTTTCGGGGTAAAAGGACAGATACACATCAATACAGTCATAGTGGGGGGGGGTCACAGATAGGTGAACCAAGGTAAAACTCAACAAAGAAATACCAGGGTTGAGCAACAGCATTCCACAGATGAATCTAACATATTTACAGTGTTTCATCCAACAACAGCAGATTGGTATTGTTGGACCTTCAGAGTTATGACAGTGACATCCAGGGCAAAGAAGAAATTGACAAACTTTTGAACAAAGCGGAAGACAGGATGAAAGAATTGAGTCAGGCCAGTATTGGACGGGTGAAGTGTTTACCGACCATGGTTCGAGGAGGGGCCATCGACAGATCCTGGCCCACTGCTGATGGGTGCCTGGGTGAGTGTGACACAGACGAAATAATAGATGGTGAAGATTCACCTCACCAGAACATTAAAGTTCTACACTCGGAGCAGTTTGGAAATACTCTCACCCTTAGTGGGATGTTACTTCGGCACATACCCAGGCCATCACGGGCACTGGCAAAGAAGATTACACTGGCAAAGACGCACTGATTTCTGGGAGGTGGAGATGAAACAAACTGAAACCAAAGATGGTCACCGTGGCAGAGACTGACCGAATGGTGGTTGGCGCACATAAGAAAGACATATGCAGAACATGTAGCAACAGCTTAGACAATCTTAAAGGAGACTGCTATCAGGTTCTAACAGGAGCCTGTGCTCCAGTACTGAAGAGGTACACCGAAGAAGGGAGACAGTTTGATGATGTGATTAATGGTTTGACAGCTGTTCCAATCTCCACGTCTCCAGAAGAAGATCCCACATGGGAGTTTCTGAGACTGATTCTTGACCTCTCAATGAAAGTATTGAAATGGGACAAGAAGTATTTTACACAGGGGAACTGTGTCAATTTGACAAAAGCCCTGTCACTCTATGAAGAACAGCTTGGGCGCCTTTATTGTCCTGTGGAATTCTCGAAGGAGATCGTCTGTGTCCCTTCATACTTGGAACTGTGGGTATATTACACTGTTTGGAATAAAGCTAAACCCTGAAGATAAATATCACAATGAAGTGCGCTGCAGAGAGCCTTCCTGATCGCCGTATGCTATACATGCCATCAAGATGAATCAGGCAACTGATTGTGACTTCTTTAAAGTTTTCTTTTTTAATTATTTTTTTAATTTAAAAAAGCAAATGGAAAATGTATATTTTGATGAGCTAGGGTGTTATTATTTTGAAAGTCAGTTGAAGGACAATTAGACAACAGCAAATACTGCTAAATGCACTGACCCCCTAGAATGTAATTTTTGTTACTTTTTATTTCTGTGTGGGTTTTTTGTTCTATTTTGTTTTTATTTTGGTAGAGTTTAAATTTGGACCTTTGGAGGAATAAGCATCATTGTTCTGTTTCAGAGAGAAGTTCTTGATGGATTTTTTAAAAAATTGAGTTAGATTTTAAAATTTGGTGCCTTTAAAAAAGTTAAAAATGAATAGCAATGCTTCAGTTAAAGTTACAAAAGAGATTTAAAAAAGAAAAAGATATTTGAAAATAGGGCCTGGGGTTTAGCACAGTGGTTCTGCCACCTGCCTCTCAAGCGTAAGGTCCTGAGTTCAATCCCCAGTACCCCCACCAAAAAAAAGATACTTGAAAATAGAATGCATTTAATATATGTGCTGCAGAAACAAGCACATAGAATGCATTTAAAAGATCATACACAGGGCCAGGGATTTAGCTCAGTGATTCCGCTGCTGCCTCACAAGTGCAAGGGCCCAAGTTCGATCCCCTGTCAAAAAAAAAAAAAATCATATATATATCATGATCAAGTCAGCTTCATCCTATATAAATAGAAGTAAGAGGGCCAGGAATTTAGCTCAGTGATGCCGCACTGCCTGCCTTGCAAGTGCGAGTTTGATCCCTGGGACCAAAAATACTTGAGGAAAATAGGTATAAAGGCCTTATCTAAATGGCCTTTATCATTATAGCAAATCCACACACAACATCATACTAAATGAGGAAAACCTGAAAGCATTGTCTCTAAAATCAGGAACATAACAAGGATGTCCACTCTCACCACTCCTGTTCAATATAGTACTTGAAAGTTTAGCCAAGGTCCCAAGTTCAATTCCCAGTACCAAAAATAAAAAAGAAAAGAAAAGAAAGAAATTTTAGCCAAAGCAATTAGTCAAGTGAAAGAAAAGGAATAGAAATAGGAAAAGAAATTAAACTATCTTTATTTGCAGATGATACAATGTTTTACATAGAAAATCGCAAAAAAAAAAAACTTCACCAGAAGACTGTTAGTAACAATAAGCAAATTCAACAAAGTTGCAGGTTGCGAAATCACCACACAAACAGTAATAGTGTTTCTTTCCACTAATAATGAATCTACAGAGAAAGAGATGAGGAAACAATCTTATTTGTGAGAGCTCTAAAAAATTTTAAAAAGCTAAAACCAAGGTAACCAAGAAGGTGAAAGATCTTTATAATGGAAACTATAGTATACTTTAAAAGAAAAAGCTTCAGCACTCGGGAGGCTGAGGCAGGAGGATAGTTGTGAGTTCAAGACCAGCCTGGGCTACATAGTGAGTTCCAGGTCAGTCTCAACTACATAGTGAGACCCTGTCTCAAAAACACCAAATATAAATAAATAAATAAAGGACTAATATCTGGACTATATAAAGAATTTTTTAAAAATTCAACCACCAACACCAAAAGGCCCAGTCAAAAATGAAACTGAAATAAAGAGACATTTCTCAAAAGAAGTACAAGTGGCTAAGTACATAAAAAAAAGTTCAGCATCTTTGGCCAGTAGGGAAATGCAAATCAAAACAATACTGAGATTCAATCTTACCCCATAAGAACGACTGTCCTCCAGGACTCAAAACACAACTGATTCTTGTGAGAAGGTGCAGGGGAGAGACCTACATTGTTGGCAGGAATATAAATTAATCCAACCACTGTGAAAATCAGTGTAGCGATTCCCCAAAAAACTAAAAACGGAAATTCCATTTCTCCCAGCTCTATATCCTGGGCCTCTCCCAGAAAGAGTTAAAGACATCGCACTACAGGAGTATATGAGTACCTATGTTGATAAGTGCAGTTCACAATGACTAAACTTTGGAAACAGCTTAAACCCCCATGGACAGATGAATGAAAGAAATATGGTATATACACAATGGAGAGCTACTCAGCCACAAAGAAGGATTGAGTTGAGTCATTTGTCTTGAGACTAACGTTGTGAAATCAGACACAGAAGGTTAAATATCGAGGGAGGAGGGGGTGAAGGGAGGGCAAGGACAAGGGGAAAACATGAGAACCAAGACTTGTCATGCAAAGGTACGAGATCCCAATGATGAATGGAATTGTACTGTATACCTAAAATGTACCAATAAACTCAATAAGAAGGAAAAAAAAGGTTAAAAATCACATGGTTTCACTTATATGAGAAATCTGAATTGAAAATAATTTAAAGAGCAAAATGAGAGAGAGATGG